AGTAGCATATGCAGACGATGTTGCCATAGTAGTTGTCTCCAACAAATTGATAAGATCGTAAGTCTATTTGATGTAACGTTTAGAAAAATTAATCGCTGGATGTTAACAATGAACCTTCAATTAGCACAACAAAAAAGTGAAGCTGTTCTTATCACAAGTAGAAAAATCACAATAGAGAGCATCACGCTGAATATAAGAAATCTAGAGATCAAGTCAAAACCTCACATCTGTTACCTTGGCGTAATGCTTGATGCTCGATTGAATTTCAATCAACTGGTGGAACACGTTAGTGCTAAGGCATCAATAGTTTGGACGAGACTTGCTCCACTGATGCCTAATGTTGGAGGCCCTAAACAAACCAGAAGGATATTACTGTCGTCAGTGGTTACTCCGGTGCTGACATATGGTATCTCCATATGGGCTGATGCTCTTAAAACTCAAAAATCGAGGAGAACGGCAGGACCTATACATCGTCTGAGTGCTTTAAGAATTGCTTGCGCATTTCGCACAATAACGGAGGAAGCAGTGTGCGTCATTTCAGGAACTGTGCCTCTCTCAGTCTTAGCAGAGGAAAGACGGACAATTTACTATAGAAGACATCAACAACTGAGCCCTGAAAAGTTGAGATTAGGAGAACGGCAGAACAGCATTGACCGATGGCAGCTACTGTGAGATGTCGCAGTGAAGGGCAGATGAGATTTTAGTCAGGATTATACCAGAGCGGTATTGAGTCTGACATACCCAGACAAATACCAGTCTGGGATGCATTAAGGCATTTTTTTAGCTATACATAAAAAAACACACATACATACATACACACATGCACATACGCCAAATGTTCGGAAAGTTTGAAGTAAAGACGTATAAAAATTTTTATTTTTGTGTTTTTGCAATTACTATAACTTACCCTACGAAAAGTAAAATTAAAATGATTTCAAACGACCAGTTTGGCTTTAGAGAACATAACTGTTGCAATTCATCAAGTATACAGAGTGGTGAATATTATTAACAGAAGCCTTTCAATCAAAGAACTTCTGCTCGGCAGTTTTCCTGGATATGGCACAAGCCTTATAATAAGGTATTCCATAGAGAATTCTTATATAAAACAAAAACTAGTAGTGCAAGGCATCGTGCCTCAAGGCAAATTTCATACATTAATAAAATCAATTATTACATGGAAGAAAATCAGGGCTGAAGGACATAAATGCAAGTTTTTCCCCGAAGCCTGCATTTACATCTAAACATGATTGAACTGTGGTTAAAATTGTGTATGACAATTAGTTACTTGAAGTCTGTGCTAGTAATCTTTACCTAATACCTTCTCAAGATCACTTTAAATAGGTGAGAATGTACCTTGACAAAAAATTAAACTGAAAGACGCACATCCACAAAAAGCACGAATAACTGGAACTCCTCCATAAGTCCATGTACTGGCTCCTAAGCAGTCATTCAAAGTTATCGGCATTCAACAAAGTTCTATTGTTTTAAGTCATCCTGAAACAGTATGGACCTAAGGTTTTCAACTATGGGGTTCAGCAAAAAACAGCAACGTACATATAATGCAGCTATTTGTGCTCCAAGAAATGTGCCTACCTGGCTAATCCACCAAGACACATACACCAGTCAAGGAAGAAATCAGAATATTTGCCCAAAGCTACAAAAATAAAATTTATGGGCACCAACAAACTCGCAGCATATCTATACAATATCAGAGACTATAATGTGGACACAATTCTCGGAATCAACGCACTAATTACTGATATTATTTTTTCTTTATACATTGTCTTTTTTATTATTTATTTAATTCAACTTTAGGCTTATTATCAATGCTTGATTATGTTACTATACCGAATTTTACACAATTAGTAATTTTTATTTCTGTTACTTATTGCAGATTAAGTTGACCTTGTGGGACGACGACGCAAAAAACATCGATGAAGTCTTGCACTCTGTAATTGTGTAAAGAATGCTCGGATCAAAGAGTATCGCGATATTAATCATTAGGGATTGGATCTAGCACATGCTTGAAATAAATCCTGACTTGCCTGAGGCCACTGAACTTCGAGGCTGGTTTGATAAAGATCGTGAAACTGCCAAAACCTATAAGTCTATCGGCAATGTTTTAGAAATTGATATTAACTATTAATTTAAACATTTAATACAAACTCGTTCATTTATTTCTTTTCTATCGTGCCTGGCCTTGGATCCAGCACATCAGCTATTGAAACCTGACTATTTCTTTAGAATATATATATGAGTAGGTATTCTAATGCGATACATCAAATGAAAGGCAAACATTTATAAATTAATCTGTAGTCATTTCAATTGACTCAGCAATCAACATAAATAATAATATTTTGTATTTTATCTAAATTACGAGTAAGTGTATCAGTGTAAATGTTGGTGCGAAATTATGTGCTTTGTGAACATTTATTGATATGACACCATGTTTAATATCCGCGTTTTTTTGTTTGGTAACGTCGGTGAATTCCAATTTTTTCGTCCATGGTCGAGAGTTCGAATCCCACTTAAGGTTTTTATTTTTTTTATCATTTACATTTCATATTTATAACTGCATGAGTTAACAAAATTAAAATTAATTCAAATTTTAAATTGATTTTATATTTTTCATTGAATTCTATAATAAAGTCCCCTTTTAACGTGTATATAAATTTGATGTGATATCAGAAAAATTTATGTAAAATATTATAATTTCATATTAAGAACAATAATAATAAGAGTGAAACAATATAATTTATTTGCATATAAAAACGAATATAAGTTTTACATTTGACTGGATGATATTTATCGCAAAAACCAAATAAAATTTTGTTTACATTCCTATGGGTTCCCGTACCAATTTCTCCGTTAGGCGGCAACGGGGGCGCTTCGCGCTTTGGACATTTCGCTCTATGCAGTTAAAGCAGTACGATTGCTGAAAAAAAGTTCAGAATTTCAGTTGAAAACAGTTTTTTTTTTAAAAAAAAATTTCAAAAAAGTAATGTTTATTTCTAAAAAAATAATTGATTTGAAGTAAATTTTTTTTTAAAAATGTTGTGATCGTTATTTTTTGGCTGAGGCACGAGTGGGGGGGCGCCCCATTAATTAATTTTTATATTTAACCGCTTTTTCATAGGCCTCTAATATTTTACCACGGTCAGTTTGGGCATAAAATTTACCATTGTGCCAAAATTCATCAAAATCCCAGACGAGCAACGCGCGGGTCCTCCTTGTTAGGAGCATGTCTTCGGTCACAAACACATGTCTTCGACCACGTTCTTCCGGTGAAGTTTTGAAAGAAGTTCAATACACGTGGAGCGTTTGATACGCTAAAGTCAAGAACTAACTACCTCGAGCCTAAATGACGGTTTTCCAGTACCATTTCCTTGATGTTTTGCGTCGTTTTCATCTATTGAACGGTGATGAATGGTCAGATCTTACATCTGTTCTCAACCCTTTCCCAATACTTTACCCACTCATAAACTAGTCTTTTTGATGAAGGTAACGCTCGCCATAGGCCTTTTGTAACTTTTTCTATTAATTGACATAACAAATTCTGTTCAAATAAAAATTCAGGGCAAAGCCTTTGATCGATAATTTTTTTGCTTGATTAATTTTTGCAACAATATAAAGGACAATTGTACACGGCAATTGTACAATGCCCATATCAAATATTCGGCATGCTCCAGAACCGAATACCGATATTTGACAACTATTCAGCAGGTTTTTAGCACCTAAACTTGTTCGTATTAATGTAATTACTATTTGCAGTTGTTATGTTACTAACGTACTACATGTATATTCAGTTTTTTTATGCCTGCGCTTACAACGACTTTTCGATTACTTTTTCTCATTTGGAAAAATTGCACCATTTATTCGGCCAAATACCGAATAGTTAAAATCAAAGAAGTTGCCGCCGCTCAGCGAAAATATTTTGTGTGTTTTATTTGTTATCTTTATTTACTCTTTATCACAGCTTTGGATGGATCTGTATATTTGGTAGTCTAATAGTTTACTAATATGATATGAAGAAATGTTTTAAATTTTTCGACTTTTAAGATTATAAACGAACACGTGAAGAAGTTTTTTTCTCAATATGCAAAGAACACATTATTGTTATATGTTTATGTTAAGAATCATTTAACGGTTACATGTATGTTTGTATCTATATTCAATGAAGTCATTCATTATATTCCATCTAAGCATTTATAAATAAAAAGATATCATAGGCTCTTTATCGCAAAAAATATGAACAATATTTTTGGTCAGTTTTCATTTAGATTTTATTATGATTGCCCAGTAAACATGCGATATGGCCACAACATCGTGGCAATATTTTATTTAGGTCGTGTGACATGCGGTTCCCATATTCATTGTCCTCGATATTTAATGGATACGGCCGCAAATTTATGTAACTATCGAACAACTATCGAGGTTCGGTCTCTGGCGCACGTGGCGTTCGTGATACATGAAAATCGACGTTGACCCACATATGTTTGTTTATTATGATAAGACCGTCTGACGTAAGGCGTTCACCCCAGTCATGACGTCATTGGCGAATGAAAACGATTCGGTCATGACGTCATACAAAATGGCGACTCATGACGTAATAGCACCTGAAAGTGATGACGTAATGCAATTAATATTCTTTTCTGTACGAATAAGCATTTATTTACGTGAATAATAAGAAATTTTACAATATTTAAATATTACAAATTAGAATTGTAGTTTTGAAATTATAAAATTTTAACATGAACTATACTAGAAAACTTTTTACAAATTATTCAATCTTAACATATTAATAACAGTATATTTGAATTGTTGTATATCTAATGAATGAACGTAATTCTATTTTTGGGGCGTGAAGTGTGAAGTGTTGCATAAGTATTCTATCGCCACTTCCTTATACATCAAACAGCCTGCCTATTTTTCATTATTTCATTCTATCGCCAGTTCATTGCATCAAATGCCAGGATACAGATTATGCACATATGACATACTGCCCCAAATTTTGGAAGTTTTCTAAAACAAATTCAAACATAATGTGATTTACTGTATATAATATAATATATATATACAGCTACCATATGTGTAGCTACCTACATGTTCAGTGTACAAATCTCCATCATCTTAAAGTCGCTTTTACACATACATTTTTAACACTGACTGATTTCATTCTATCGCCAGTTCATTACATCAAATGCGAGGATACAGGATATTCATATATGATGTACTTCTTGGAAGTTTTCTAAAACAATTTGAAACATAATGTGTTTTATTGAATCTAATAATATATATACCCACTCCATATGTGTAGCAACTTACATATTCAGGAGACAATCTAAATCGTCTTCGAGTCGCTTTTGCACATACATTTTTTTTAACCTGATTGAATTCATTATATCTTCAGTTCATTATACATCAATACATCAATCAAGTTCATGCATATATGACATACTGTTCCCAATTTTAGAGGTTTTCTAAAACAATTATAAATATAATGTATTTGTTACCAAATAATATATATACAGCACTATATATGAATCAACTTACATATTAAGAAGATAAATCTCCATTATCTTCAAGTTGCTCCTAAACATACATTATTTGAGCCTGTCTAAAGATCTGTATATTGTTCATCGTTTCATTCCAATTTTGTACGACTTCTGAAATAAATATGAACATGGCATACGTGTTTGCTGTTTATATATATTTGTATAGCTATTATATTTGTAGTGACTTACATATTCAAACAATCATTCTCGATCCGCTTCTCAACCGACTAATTTAAGAGATTTAAGAAGTGAGGTTATGTCGAACACATGGATATGTTAATGTCTTAATTTAGTAAAATAATTATTTTAACCTTGATAAACGATCCTTATTATTGTCCTCAGATTTTTGTAAGATATGCTATTTGGTTACCTCCTTTGTCATCTAAAGAAATCGACATAAAATAACGTTTCTTCATCCCAGGATATAATGCACTAAATGGAATTCAAAATCGTGAAGTAATTACATATCTATATAAATAATATATGATATACTTACAGTGTCATTTTTCTACACTTTTCTACAATTATCATAAACAAGTTGCTTAACTAAACGAATGTAATTATTATACTAAAGAAAATATAACTTGATGCATGATAAATTCGTGACATATTGCGCCATTTTGTAAGCGGTTAGTTTAGCTTTCGTCAAAGAAACAGTCGGTTCCACCAGTGGCCACGGCGCGCTGATGTAAAGCTTTCTTTGTATGGTCACACACACCAGCACACAACGCACACAACGCAGCGCACGACGCGTTTGCTTCACGCCGTGTGACGTCATTGATTATGCTTTGCATGTGTGCTAACACACACCAGCGCACGACATGTATCTCACATGAAATTCAACGATGTCATCAACCCCGACAGCGCGTGTTTATGTCTCGTGAGACAACTCAATGCGAGCTTTGCGTGTATTGTAACACACACAAGCGCACGCAAGTTTAAAATCCTCTTGTGGCGTAGATTCGATAACCGCATTATAATAACGATGTCGATATTATAGAAGATCACATCGCGTGTTTACTGGGTGGCCTTCCCAATATATTAGAAATAATATTGTGTTTATAAAAAAAATTAAATGTTTATGAAAGAAACAATTAGAAATATATTTATAAATATAAATGATAGTAGATACACTTTTGTAAATTTCTATTTCTTTTGTACTTTGTTCAATAGTTTAAATATTATATTTCGTAATCATATATGTTAAATATTATTGTTAAAAATAAATGTTATTTGAAATTTAATCTAATTATTTTTATCTTCCAGTAGGGTAGTTATAGTAATGGGCCAAAAATCAAAAATATTTTTTTTTGCATTTCTCCACGTTTTGAAGGTTTCTGAACATTTTGGCATACCTCAGAGAAAATGGATTTGTTTCAATTTTTTTGTGGCTAAAGTTCTAAAATACTTTAAACAAATAATTTCAACTTTTCAATTCAGTTTATATAATTCTTATAAATATTAGAAAATGCTACAATATTTATAATAATCTAATTTTGTTATGGTGCGGGAAGTTCCAGCAATTTGCCATAAGGCACAATGCCATACACCACTAGTTCAATTTTGTATTCAAATCGTTTATATTTCTTTTATCTATAACTATAGTGTGCTCATATAACAAAAATTTGTTATATTATTTAAGTCTGGCAACACCTCCTTATTGATGTGTTAGGGCCTCTCGGGCCATATTTCGTTGCCACGCTTTACTATCCAAATCTGTCCACTCATGGTTAGTGCGTATAAAAAATTACGTTTTATTAATTTCCTGAAGGAGAAGTTTAAGTAACTATGAATTGTCAGTTGGGGTATGTTAATTGAAATTTTTGTGTTTCAAGAATATATAATATTAGTTATTTGTAGAACAAAACCATTTGCTGGCATTGCTGACGAATCCAACTTCTACACGGAGATTCCGAGTAATTGGTTGATTATTAACAATGATGGTTCGTACAGCAAGTGCTGGTGTCCTTTCAGAAAAAACACTACGGGTCTAATAATGAAACGTGTAGAGCCACAAGATACATGGAATCAAGCATCTATGAAATTAGTTGGATTTTATGGTGAGAATATCATTACTGTAAGAGTAAAAGCAATCATCTTCTTTAAATGAAACATCTTTTAATACTTTTAGACAGCTATGAGTCTGCACGCAAGCGGAGGAGAGAGGATTTATCAGCATTGATCGAGTCAAGGATTGAGGCCATAACAGGTAAAATTGTAGTGCATTGACTTACTCACTTTTTAATGTTACAAATGAAGTGTTATTTGCTTTTATTGTAGCACCGATGTTAATCAGAGAGAAGAGGAAACATTCAGAGGGTCAGGAGGTTGAATCAATCACAAGTAATGTTCTTAGTTTTTATCAAATGTATTTTTAAAATTTAATAGTAATTTTTGTTTTTATTGCAAATTTTCAAGCTAATAAAAGAAAGGAGGCGGAGGTAGAGGATGTCTTTTAGGAGGAGCATTTTGCTGCTATTAAAAGTAATTGAATACTGGAGCTTAATGATTCTAGTCTTTATGAAATGTCTTTTTTAAATTCAATGGTATTTTTTTGTAGGTCATCAAAAGAAAGCAGGACGAGATACGGGAGGTGTTTGAGGAAGAAGATGTTGGTGCTGTTCAAAGTAATAGAATACTGGAGCTTAATGATTTTAGTCTTTATCAAATGTATTTTTCAAATTCAATGGTAATTTTTGTTTTTATTGTAGCTCCTCAAGATAATACAAGAAGGCAGGACTAGATAGAGGTGTTGCATGACGAACATGTCGTTGCTGCTAAAGGTAATTGATAACTGAAGCTTGTGCTCATGTTAGTAAATTAAATATGAACTTTCTAATTACAACAATTTTATTTCAGAAAGCTGCCCACATACTTGCCCTGGGATGGTTGCAATACAAGGTATATATTATCATATTGTTTAATATAATATAATATATATATATATATATATATATATATATATATATTATAATTTTTATTTGATTTTAACAACTCGTGATTTAATACTAAAGCGTATGATACGCTTGGAGGCAAAAAAAGATCAGCGACCAAAACAATCCGGCACAGCGTACATTACCCAAAAATGAAGCGAATGTTTTTGATACTATCTTCCCTTTGAAGATCCATAAGATATTCATGGCTAGGAAGAACAATAATTTGCCGACGCATAGGCTAAAAATTATTAATATCCCCAGAGTTAATATATGCAGTACAACATCTTAAGTTAACAATGTAACGCACCTTGTAACGCACTTGATGCGGAAATAGTAATCTTCAGGCAATGCATTTGATGAGGTTGCCGTAATGTAACAGGTAACAGATGTTATATAACTGCAATCTAACGGCAATGTAAAATTGTTTAGGGGGATAATAATCGCAAAAAAATCGAAAATGAAAATTTCTATATATCTTACGTTTCAAAGGTTTCTGAATATTTTGGCATACCTTAGAAAAAATGAATGTATGTGTGTGTGCGTTTGTATTTGTGTGTGTGCGGTTACAATTTTTGTCAACGATTTCGGAAACACCGATCAACCGATTTGAATAATTCAAAAAACATTCTATTCGTATCGATAAGGAGACGTGCTGATTAGATTTTGGCGAAGGCAGGTCTAGACGTTCCGGAGATACGGGGCAAAAAGTGCCAAAAACGGTAACTCAGTTTTTAATTTTGATAATTCAGTTTTTAATTTTGATAATTCGAAAAACATTTTACTTGTTTTAACTAAATAAACAACTGGTGAAATTTTTGGGAAGGCAGGTTCAGCGGTTATAGACTCTCAATAAAAATAAGTTAAAAAATTGCCATTTGACGGTCAAAAATGTTTATTAGTACATCAAACTATCAGATATTTTATACAGATTTTAATAATGTTACCCATTGTGTGTAAACTTTTTTGGGTTCCGTACCAAGATTTTCAATTTTAAAATTCATGTATATGGTTCAAACAAATATCCTCGACATCTTCGACGGTATGGAATAACCGATTTGAATAATTTAAAAAACATTTGGTTCGTATTGATAAGGTAATTGACGTGCTGATTATTTTTTGGTGAAGGCAGGTATAGCCGTTGCAAAGATACGGGACAAAAAGTGCCAGAAACGGTAACTCAGTTTTTAAAAGAACGGAGCGTCCGATTTTAATAATTCAAAAAACATTTTACTTGTATTGACAGAAGGCAGGTCCAGCGGTTATGGACTGTCAATAAAAATAAGTTGGCGGTCATTTGGCGGTCAAAAATGTTTATTGGACATATGTACATCAAATTATCAGATATTTTACAGAGATTTTAATGTTGTATACACATTTTGTGTAAATTTTTTTTGGGTTCCGTACCAAGATTTTTAATTTCAAAATTTACGTATATGGTTTAAACAAATGTCCTCGACATTTTCGACAGTATGGAATAACGAATTTGTATGATTAAAAAATCATTCGGTTCGTACTCGATCATAAGGCAATTTTGCCGTATGGAGAGTCGTAAAAGGTGTAAAGAACGGATTATCCGATGGTGTGCAAAAAATGCTCGTAAAGAAAATTTAGTAATTTTGAATATTTAAAATAAAAAATCAAAATTGTCAAAAAAAAATTCAAAGTTTCAAAAAATTCAAATTTTCAAAATTTTTTAGCATTATCAAAAAAAACTTAATTTCGATAAATTAAAAAAAAAATATTTCTTACAAAAATTTGAGAATATTTCGAAAATTTAATTTTCGAAAAAATCGAATATTTTCAAAAATTTCAAAATTCTCAAAATATTAAAAAAAACATTTTTTTATATTTCAAAAAATTTTAAACTTGGAAAAAAATTCAAAATTTTGAAAAAATGTCTAAATTATAAAAAAATTCCAAATTATCAAATAAATCTAATTTAAAAAATGGACTCTTCCAAACGTACACATAAGTTGTTCATAAAATACGCTCATCGCCCAATTTAAAAAGCACTTATAAATTTACAGTATGTATTTATAATAAATAATCTATTTGAAAATCTTCAGAACAATTATTGATTATTTTCATTCCTCGTATGTTTAATTACGGTACGGAAAGTTCCAGCAAATTGCCTTAAGGCACGTTGCCATGCGCCCCACTAGTTATATTTGATATTCACTTATTATATTGTGATTATTGTATGCGGTTACTGGTTTATATATTTAATGGGATAATTTTAAATAATATGGAATGGTCAAATGACGTAATTTTGGTATTCATAAATGAAAAGGAGAGGTTTTCTATATTGTGAAAAACTAAAGATGCATTTTATAAAATCACTAGGAAAAAAACGTTTACGTTCGTTTGGAATGATTCGTCTTCCTTCGCGTTTATTCTACTTCGTATTTTGTTCATCGTATTCGTTCGTGCTCGTTCGTTAGGTGAGGACGCACCTTTAGATAAATGGATTTATGTGCGTGTATGCTTATGTGTATTTGTATGTTTGGATATTATTTTTCGTCGACGATTTCGGGAGCATTGATTAACCGATTTGAATGATTCAAAAAATATTCAATTCCTTTTGATAAGCAGACGTGTTGATTAGTGTGTGGGGATCATCCACATATATTTTTACTTGAATAACTCAAATATTATAATATAATATTATTTGTTATATAAGATAAATTTACATTGAAATTATAATTAATTTATTATTTTCTTCTTCTGGCTGGCTACTGTCCGTGGTCCCAGGTCAGTAGTTGTTGACTCCATGAATGGTTGCGGTGAAAGAGAATTAATCTGTGTTGCGCTATGCGTTAAATACCCTCAGCGCCAAGGAGTGGGGATGTCTAAAGTATATATCGTGGTGCCATCTGGTGCCACGTGGGCGGGTCCCACAAGCGGTGACAATTGAAGTTGAGGCATAACTGGTGACGCCATGAGTTGTCAAACCTCTTATATAGATGGTTCCCACAGGATCCCCCCGCGGAGACTGGAGGTCATGGTATTCAAAAATGAACTTTTCGACCTGATCGAGTGAAATAGTTGTTCTCTGCTTTGGTCTACTGGATCT